TGTGAGGAGTTGATCGAGAGCTAATAGACTGTGTGTAGAAAGAGTGGAAAGTCTAATACGCTCACGGTGATTACTGTTTTATCCAGCAATGGTTCAAATTGCAAGGGATGTTGAAAGGAACCGTTCTCTGTTTCAAGAGAGACTGGAGAACTGGTTTCCAAATTTTCATGGTAAGAGCACCAAAAATAAGTAACTATGGATCATGTGTGGACATTTGACAACATTTTAAAGGACGTTTTATTTATACAGTAAAGAAGGACTCTTGAAGTTGCACCATTTAAATGAGTAATACATTTTGGATTTCATTACATTAGCCCTTTTAGTAAAACCTTCAGCTAAAGGGAATGGTGAGTTCAGCGAGAAGTGTCAGGTCTGGTTTCCAAACCTGCTAGGTGAGGTTATTTTCAAACATTGTCGTACAATGCACAGTAAATATACTGGGTAGCAAAACACAACATGGGAGTAGGACTGACTTCATATATCCATCAAAAGCATCATACAGACCAGTAGGTTAAATTTTTTTTATCTAGGTTCAGAAACAGATACCAGCTTTTTGATATATTTATATCTAATGCAAATACACTATAACATTTTTTTTTTAAATGTGGTGTTTTAATCCAAAATTGTCCAAATAATTTTTAGACCACTGTGTCTGTATGTATAGATTTAGTTAATATTAATATTAAGAATACTGATTGGACCCCAGTAATCTTCAATAACTCGTTACACATTAAAGTACCTAATTTAGGCAGTTATCTGAAGGAACTGTCTCTAAGATTTCTTGTTTTATCATTTCTGCCAATAGCCAACACTAAGCCATGTGCAGAAGAGCAGGCTGAGTTTGGAAAACAGCTCCAGACCTGGTTTCATGACCTTCAAGGTAAGACTTTCAGGAAAGGTCATGACAACCATCACATATTCACAGAATCATAGATTCTTTAAGCTTTGCTTAATTTTTTTTTTCTTACTCTTATTTGGCTACACCAATAACGTCATAACAATGAAATAAATAATTCAGGAAATAAATTACAATTTTGTCTTAATGTTTTTTTTCTTCTTTGACCAGTAGCTGACTCTAAACCACCTGAGGAAGAGAAGGTTCAGTTCATGACAAAGCTCCAGGTCTGGTTTCCTGAATTCAAAGGTACGAACTTCATCCAGGGCCACAATAAATAGTTTTCTCTTAATCATGAATATGCGGTTACATACACAACATGTTAGGCAGTCAATTATTGTCACTAATTGTCAAACAATGATATCTGTACTTCACCTGTAGCTGACTCTAAACCAGGAGGCGACGAGAAGGCAGAGTTTGATAAAAAGCTCCAGGTCTTGTTTCCTGACTTCCAAGGCAAGAACATCAGCAAATGTATTGGAATAATAGTTGATCAATATGGAATTTTCAGTTATTGATTTTTTTTTTTTTTTTACTTTACCTGTAGCCAACTCTATACCCATACTCACTCTCTTAATGCACATGACATCAACACATATTAAAATAAATAACTGAGGTAGTACATTATTGCCTCCAATTTTCCCTTAATGACCATGCCACCTGACAATGTGGGACACATATTTATTCAGGATATTCGGAATAATGGTCACATTTGATTTTTTTCAGCAGTAGACAACTCTAAACCTACTGACGTAGAGAAGGCTGAGTTTAGGAGGAAGCTCCAGACCTGGTTTCCTGAAATTAAAGGTAAGAACATTAGCCAGGGATGCAGCAGATACAGTTCTCTTAAACTTTAATATGAACATCAAGTAAGAACATCAGCAAAGTGGGACACACATTCACCCAAGATATAATGGTTGATCAATATGGGATTTCCATGCACCGATTTCCTTTTTACTGGTATTATTATTATTATTTTCACCAGTAACCAAGTTTAAAACCACTGAGTTAGAGAAGACTGAGTTCAGGACAAAGCTCCAGATCTGGTTTCCTGATCTCCAAGGTAAGACCTTTAGCCAAAGGCTGCAGCCACCATAGATGCTGAGAGGGACAGATGTTTTCCTCAGATATTCGGAAAAATGGTTGAGAATTGTCCAAATTACTTTTTTATTGTATCACCAGTAGCCAACTTTAAATCGACTGAGGAAGAGAAGGAGAAGTTTACGAAAAAGCTCAAGATCTGGTTTACTGAAATTAAAGGTAAGAATTTCAACCAGCGCCACAACTAACAATACTATTGTCTCTGAATCTTGAATATGTGGTTACATACGCAACATGTTAGGCAGTAGATTACTGCCACTAATTGACTTTTTTATTATTTCACCAGTAGCCAACTCAAGACTAAGCTCCAGGTTTCCAGACCCCCAAATAGTCGGATACACCTGAAAATAAAAAAAAGATTAAATGATTAAAAGGATAGTTCACCCAAAAATGTTAATGTTAAATTAATGTCATTAATTACTCACCCTCATGTTGTTCCAAACCCGTAAGACCGCCGTTCATCTTCGGAACACAAATTAAGATATTTTTGATGCATTCTGAGAGCTCTCTGACCCTCCATAGACAGCAATGTAATTACCACAATCAAGGTCCAGAAACAAATCCGTGTGACATCAGGGGTTCAACCGTAATTTTATGAAGCTATGAAAATACTTTTTGTGCACAAAGAAAACAAAAATAATGACTTTATTCAACAATTCTTCTACTCCGCGTCACCCTATAGCACCATTTTGGAGAGTATCCACAGAACATAAACAGCGTATGCTGTTCTGTGTCAGCTTCACCACGTGAATACGTTGTTTTCATTCAAATTCCAAATTTCCATATTTCATTACTCTCCAAAATGGCTTTACAGGGTGACTCGGAGGAGATGAATTGTTGAATAAAGTCATTATTTTTGTTTTCTTTGCGCACAAAAAGTATTCTCGTAGCTTTGTAAAATTGCGGTTGAACCCCTGATGTCACATGGACTGTTTTACCGATCTCCTTGCTACGTTTCTGTGCATTGATCGTGGTAATATCATTGCTTTCTATGGGAGGGTCAGAGAGCTCTCAGAATGCGTTCAAAATATCTTAATTTGTGTTTTTCAGAATTTTAATTTTTGGGTGAACTATCCCTTTAATCATTTCTTTTTTTTTTCTTTTTTTTTCAGGATTATCCGACTCTAAACCAACTAAAGAAGAAAAGGCTAACTTTATCTAAGAGATTGGAACAACCATAGACATGTTTCCAACAGATATTAAAAAAGATAATAATAATAATAATAGTTTGTCTTTTTTTCATCAGTAGCCGACTCTAAACCCACTGAAGAAGAAAAGACTAAGTTCAGGCCAAAGCTCCAGGTCTGCTCCACTGATGTGAACCACTGGGAGACCACAGTTGTCATACGTAGCCATGCAAGACCTGCTAGACCAGGGATGCCCAATCCTGTCCCTGGAGATCTGCCTTCCTGCAAAGTTCAGCTCCAACCCAATCAAGCACACCTAAACCAGCTAATTAAGATATTCAGCAACACTTGATAATTACAGTCAGGTGTGTTGGAGCAGGGCTGGAAACTAGATTGTCTAGTCCTAGCATTCAGTCATGTGGATTCTAGCAGTGCTTGTTGAGACAAACTATTCAACATTATTATTGCTCATACTTTAGATCAGGGATTTGAACAAGCTCCTAAACACCAAGTAATAAACCTCCATTTCCGCCAAATAATATGTCAGTTGATTGCATACAGTCATCATAATCCATCGTGCCAGTCATCATAATTCATTCAATTAAATTAAGTCAATGTCTCAAAAGAGTAAGTGAATTGTAAGTTAATTATGTCAGGTCTTTCCTTAGTTATGATTAATGTGTTGTTATATAATCCAGGAAATTTGGGTACAAGTATCATTTTAGTGCCAGTCTAGTCGCTAAACAAAGGATTATAGCATTATAGGACTTGAAGTTGTCTTACCTGTGCTCAATAAAGCTAAATCAAACTCTTTAGTATCCGTCAGTGAAAAACACTTCAAAGATGCATTTTTCTATGTGTGAAGAAGGGGGGAATAAGGGAATTGGCTAGTTGGCTCAGACAATGTATCTACATTGCCAGAACACATTTAATTGCCCTGGTTGCAAACCTTTTCATGTTTGGCACTGTGTGTGTGTAAGCGTGCATTTATTGGTTCACTTTATATCGTCTAACAGAATGAAATCTCTTTCACTAAGGCACACCTGTGGCATAATGGCTCTTTTTGTTTGGTGTAGCCCTTCATTCGCTCGCAATCATCAGCCTACGATTCATCCATTATGTGCTAACTCAAGTGTTTTGCGCAATAAACCAAAGCGTCGTCTCCCTGGCTAACCGTCTGCATGTGTTTCTCTCTCCGTCTCTCCCCCTGTTCTCACAGCAGAATCGAGTGTTATTGCCTGAACCCTAATCTGTCCCTCAGGCAATGGAAGAGAATTGGATTTGAAGGCTACTCATGGGGCTAGTGCTGTAATGCTAGCCGTTGAGCTTCAGGGGGGGCAATAAGAGAAAGCTTTCATAATAAGATCATTAAGTGTAATCTGTTAGCTTGGTCCCTCAACACCACACAAATGGCTTCGCTGAGCTGTGGTGGATTCAGCTAAGATAATAAATCAAAGCTACATGCTAAGAAAAGCTAAAAGGCCTGTTGATTTAGTTTTTCTTAATCTACCAGTTTTAATTTTTTTTCTGTTTTGTAATTTGTTAGTGTTGTTTAATGGTCCAAAATGCACATTATACTGGTCAAACTTGCATATTTCTATGCCACACGACTTTTCTTTCTGCATTTCAAGTGCACAATGAGTTACGATAGCCATGAGACTTCGGATGAGTGAGTTAAGGCAATGATTTATTCGCAGACACCTGTGATATGTCTAAAGTGAGGATAAAATCATATATACATGAGTTATGAGAATAAAAGCAGTTGAGACTACATTCTCACTCGTTGTTTTCTGCAAAATAAATATATATAGATGGACACATATATTTATATATTGCATTATCTCCATTGTACAAACAAATTTTACATCAGACCGAGCTCTCAGACTGTAATTTGATTGACATTAAAATGGGTGACTCTGTACAGACGATTGGATAATCAGGTTGATTAACATGATTTGTTGAAAAGATCTTATGAGGAGTATTCATACTCCTCTGCGCTCCGTCGGCCAAAATCCATCCATCCCAAGTAATCTCTGTCCTTTATTCTGTGATTGTTGCCCATGGACCTGCTATTTGGAGAGGGGCTTCTGCGATATGTACCTGCATGAAATGCGCAAAGACACATTAATTAATTTATTTTAAGCACAAGAACCTTTGGAAATTGCTATCTATTTATATATAAATCTAGAAATAAATCATTAGTAGAAGCATTATTTATTATACTATTATTATGTAATTCCTGTTACTGTAAAAAAAAAATCTGTGACATTTACGGTAAAATACCGGCAGCTGTGGTTGCCAGAACTTCACCATAAAAAATTATGGTAGCAACATTTTAGGTTTTACAGGCTTAATACCGTAAAAATACCGTATTTCATTAACTGGTGTAATGTTAATAAACCAAAATATTGAAGTACTAATATCTGTTTTGAACCATTGAAATGCACTGATAACCACCAAAAACTGGTGGTGATGAGAAAGTCACATGATGAACCAACGCTCATCACAAACAGCTTTTATACGAGCTGAGGAGGCCAATACTTATATATATAGAAGGTGCATAGTGTCATTCACATAAACACTAAACCCCATCATGGTGACAAACATGATTCTGAAATAATGCAATAAACATTAATTTAACAACATTACATGTAAGATTAAACCCTAATGTACACAACTGATAAGGAAAAAAAACTAAGAAAAAACATGTTATTTCAACAAAAAAACATCAAATATGAAGTGTCATGCAGGGAATTCTGGGAGTGTCCATTTACAGTTTGTTACTGTAAATTATACAATGACTTTTTCTTTTTCAATTCCAAAAACCGTATTTTTAACAGTTATTTACTGTAAAATTACATTAAATGTAATTACATTTATTCACCGAATATAGTATGGAAACTTACTGTTAACCAGTTAACAGGTTTTTACTGTGCATTTTTACAGTCTTTTACTGTTAAAATCACAATACTTTTTTACAGTGAGAGGTTCAATAGAAATCTCAAATAGGAAAATATAACTCTAATTGACCAAAGTTAATGTGATTGAAATGCTATTGAAATGGCATGATCATAGTTTCTAAAGGCTATAACATAATATGCATTAGGGACAATTTATAAAAGTTCAGTAAATATAAAATAGTCATTTGAAAGGAGTATTCCACCTTTGGTGGATATGATTCTGGCCAGTAGTTCAGTCAAGCTGCTGCGGGGTTCTTCATCATCCTCTGCTTTGGACAGCAGGCTGAGTTGTCCACTGGAGGACGCTGCACGGGTGTGGCGTGTGTGTTCCGCTACGGGCCCGAGATCTTCTGAGTGTGTGGGGAGAGAAAGGCAACTGCTGGTGGAGAGGGCAGCAAGCAGCACACACACACAGATCCCAGCGTTCATGGCTGAAATAAACACACACATGTTAGAGCTTTAATATTGCTTAATTAAAATCCTATTCATTTGAGCTTTTGCAAAATACACCTTAATGAGTAAAAAAAGGTTCTAAAATGTGATTTTTACATGATTTTACATCCATCTTAAAAACATTAAAAAGTTAAATTCCATTAAAAGATCCTCCATAAAAAAAATATAAAAAGATTGCTAAAAGAAAGAGGAGTGAGACTTCCCTGCCTCCGTTCAAGACACGAAATCCAGCACAGTCACAGAGAAAATGTGTAAATATGTTTGAATTAAACACCAGATATACAAACCAATTGGGGTGCAATGTGTAACACTGGTAGATCTCAACTATGGGTTTTTCTGTTTATTTCACCAGTTTCAGATAAAACCCATTTGCCAAAGAGGTCCATCTAACTCATTTATGGGTTACAAATTTTGACTTAACGACAGTTTCTTTCTTTTAAACAATGATTTATTTTTTTTATTTTTTTTGGGG